TATTAATATCCAAATGAGAGACTAAATCTAGAGTAAAGCTCAATTATTTTGCTTCATTTCCAACATTTAACTCTAATGGCGAAAGAAAGATCAAAACAGGAGAAATATTAAATTATATTTCTTTCCTCTCTAATGGCGAAAAAAAATAATAATAAACAGGAGCTTCTCTATTCCTTTCTTCTCAATCATATTTTCAAGGAAAATCAATATCTAGTATTGAAAGCTTTTACTCAGTTCCCTCTTGATATTCGACTCTGTTTGAACAGGAAATGGGATGCACATGCCAATATTTTAATGCTTTATTAACGGAGAAAAGGGAACGAAATAAAACAGATACATACAAAAGAAATGTATGAGGCCGCTTAGAGGAATCCAAATAGCTGAAGCTCAAACAAGATCATATCGATTAGAGTCCCCTCAAAAGGTATCCATCGTATCAATGTATGTTGAACATTTTCTGATTCTAGGGATTATTGTAAGGAAACAAGAAGAAGAATGAGAAGAAGAGGTAGATGAAAATGATGATGAAGAAGAAGAAGAAGAGGAAGAATGTGAAGAGACTCACACTGTAGAATAGCGAGCAAGATGCGAGCGGGATGTGCGAGCGGACTAGCGTTTCTAACAGTAATGATCGGCCGTGTGCTCCTCTGATAGTGATTTGCTCCGTTCAGCAGTGGATTGCTCCTCTTGAGAGTCACGGTCGCGGAAGATGGAGAACCGAGCAGTTTGCGCGCATAAGATTAGGAAGAATTAGAGATCCTCGATCTGTTTAAGGGTGGGGCTTTTCGTTTGGTTAAAACCGGTGCAATTTGCAGCAGTCAAAATCGATGCTAAAATAAGATTTTGGCAGCAGTTTTTAAACCTCTCCTAACATCTAATGCGAAAAATCCAATTTTTTAGTAGTGTCTTTAATTATAAGTTTTAATTTTTATTTATGATAGCTTGCTTACTGCTTTCTAAAACGACTTTTTTGTAAAAAACTTTAATTCAAGAAATTTTTGTGTTAAAAAACTATTTTAAAAAGCGGTAAAAAAATTGCCCTAAATGAAACCTTAATTACAATGAGCCATCCTTCAGTTAAATTGGAGGAATCATCATTGCAAGATAAAAGATGCAGACTTGATTATAATATGATGATTATTATTATTATTATCATCATCATCATCATTAAGTAATTTCTGAATTTTCATCATTTCATTACAACAATAATTTTAATAATCAAATTCGAGCAAACCCGCAAATTAACTTGATGAATATTTAATAAATTTGATTCAATTGCTAAAGTATTAATTTAATTATTTATTATAGTTTTAATTTAAATAATTTATTTTATTTTATTTATTTTACAGAATCGTTCAAATCAAATTGAATAAAACCGAATCATACTCATTAAATTATATTAAAAGAAAACAAAGACAATTTGTTAAAAGCAGAACTAATTAATTTTATTCGAATGTTAAATTATTAATTTAATTAGTTATTAGAGTTTTAATTTTAAATTTTAAATTATTTATATTATTTTTTTATTTTACAAAATCGTTCAAATCAAATTGCATAATCATACCCATTAAATTATACTAATTAAAAAAATAAAAAAAAATTGTTAAAAGCAGAACTATCCGCCTTATATTTATAGTTATAAATTTGTAAAAGATTGGGGTGAGAGAGGCTCGAACTCTCGACCTCAGGATAACTCAAACATGATAGCTATGAGACCTACGCGCTAGCCAACTGCGCCACCACCCCATATAAAGCGTTAGTTAAACATAAAATAATTATTTGATAAAATTAAATGTATTCTTAATAAGTACTCAAACAAAAATTCAATTTGACAGAATAAATCTCAAAGTCATTAGATTGATTTTATAAACAAGAAACAACCATAACAATAACCATTTATTCCATTATAAATTATTTTTCTCTATTATGCTTTATTAATATTCAATTTTTTTATTTAAATCCAATACAAATTTTATTTTTAAAACTTTTTAATCATGTATTTTTTAAGTCTGGCTCAACCTTTCTTATCATAAGTCGGATCTAATATGTATACTCTCCCAACGGAGTCATCAAAAGACTGACACTTTATGTTACCAAATAATCTTAGGGGACTATTTTAACCTAGTTTAAATGCTCGTGCACACTGTGTCCATTAATAGGACTTTAAAAATAATAAAAATTTAATAAAATTAAAAATATTAATCTGAAAATAATCATTACTAATCACAATACTAACATTTAGCAAAGAATTTTTTAGGCAAACCAACAAGAAATTATACCCTCATTAGAACTACAACAATATAATACAACATAAGAGAACTATAGAAGCATCTTTGCATACTACAAAAAAAGTCTTAATCTACTCAAAACTTCACTGCTCTATAGCAATCTTTTTATGGCAATGGAGGTCAGTTAAATAACTCGAACAAGTATAATCTTGCAAGTCACATGCATCAAAGAGGAGCGGCCTTTAGTTCGAAGCTCTTCCCATCAACTATTGTGGTCCTACGTCTTCTCTAGGCAGATGAACAACATGCATTCCAAGACCAATATGTAGTAATGAATGGCTGGAAGGCTAATATTTAAAATTCAGCACAGGAAGAAGCATCAAATACAAATTGCTTACAAAGTTGCACTGAAAATTTAATGTTTTGGATATGAAGTGTATTTGGGATAATTTTTTCCCAACTTTAATTTACAAACTACCATAATACTGTTTTGCTACAACTTTTTTGTCATTTAAAAAAAAAATTATGATGAGAACAAGATTTTCACATACAGATGTACAATTGTGATAGCAGTTAAAAAGCAACTATTTTATTTTCCAAGAGAGAAAAATACTATAATTGTTATGTCAATTTACAAAAACTGGACTTTTCTCATAACAATTTCACATTACTTGGCTAATTTATCAATTTGATGATAGAAAAATATAATGTAGCATACTGAATCATACCCATATCACCAGGATTTTCGAGATGAATCAATTGCTCGCCTACCTATTATGAACTTGAACGACAATAACCCATAAACAAACACATCAATCTTCTCATTCACAATTATGTGCATGAAATATTGAGGTTCATTTATTTTAAATATAAAAGATGGTCACTTGAATAACATGTGAATAACAGAAACTAATTTACCACATAATTTCACATGAACTGGTCTCACCCAAATGTGCCTTCAATAAAAAATTTGACTAATTCTAGCAGAATATGCATGTTTCATTCTATATTTTCTAGAGCTGCACCCTTAAAGCCAACAATTCTTTCACTATGAAGAAAACATACCTAAAATATTTTTTAAATTGCATCACCTATTTTAAACTTTTAAGGCTTGTACCATTTAGTTTTAACACAACTCTTTTCTAGTCTTACTAATTAGGATATGTCATCAGCAACAATAAGCAATAAAAACATAAATTTTAAGAAGCAAAAATAACACAATATTTTTTTTACCGTAAATTTTAATTTTTATACTAAACATTTGTTTTAAGAAGCAATAAAAAGCCTTCCCAAACAAAGCCTTAGACTTCATTCGAGATATATTTTTTACTGCTTTCTAAAGTAGCTTTTTAGAACAAAAATTTCTAATTCAAATTTTTAGTACGAAAAAATTACTTTAGAAATCAGTAAGTAAGTTGTCCCAAATAAGATCTTATAGGGGTCACAAAAAGGCATGATTATGTTGCTTATGTTGCTTGTGGTGTGGAGTAGATTGGTACATGCAATGGAGAAGATGGGGCTCTCCTTTGGGCAGGCCTAAGATCGTCAACCTTTTAATTAGTTCAAATTTGTGCACTGATGACGTTGGAGTGATTGCAGCGAGAGGATTCTTTCAAATGTAAATCTATATAATTTGGAATTATATTTGTTCTAAAATTAATTGTTATCAACCTTTAATTAGAAGGAAATGTGGACTGATTATTTTAGATTAAAAAAATAAATATTAGATTCGTTTGATTCAATTATAAAATTTGACATTTTACAAATTTGTTTTATTTGATCCATTTTTTTTACATATAAATATAAAAGAGATATCAAAGAAGTGATATTAGTTATAAATATAAGATCAACACTATTTGTTTTTAAATAATAAGGATAATTAAAAACATATTTCACTTTGGTCTCCCAAGAAATCAAATTTAATTTAAATCGGACTAGTTAATTTAGGAAACTCTATAAATTTAAACCAATATAAACTCAAATTAAAGCAAATAAATCTATTTTATAATTTACTCCAATTTTAATTAATTTAAATTTTCACTCTTGATATTTAATTCAAAACTAGGGTTTGTAAAAAGCCAATTAAAACAAAAAATTGAATCAAAATGACTAAACTTGTATTTTTTTATTTAACTTAAATTTATAATAATTAAGTTCAATATGTTATTTAAACCAGTTTCTTTATTTAATTATATTTCAAAATTTTGTTCAATCAAAATAAATCAAATCAAATAGAACAAACATAATATATTTATTTATTTATTTACTATCACATTATTGTTACTAACAAATGAAAGATGCAGTGAAATTACAATAATCAATTAAGTAGTAGATTCACTAATCACTCTTTATATCATTTCAGTTGATTTCATTGGTACATAATCTTATTATTATTTTTTTAATGAACCATTAACTTAGATGGAATCTACCTGGATGATTCACCACTTTAATGCAAAACTATCAAATCAAGTTATAGAAAATCATTCAAAATATTTAAAAATAAAAGCAAATCAAATCGATTAATTATTTAAAATGAAAACTAAATCAAAATAAAATCTTATTTGCTGATTTGATTTGACATAATTGCTTTATTTGTTCCATGAAATGGACATGTCCAGTTAAGCTCCACACTTAGGTTTTGTTTGGACAGCTTTCTTATTTCTTTCTGAAATAATTTTTAACACCAAAAATTTTAGTTCAAAAAATTTTTTTATTAAAAATTTATTTTAAAAAGCAATAAAAAAACCGTTCCAAACGAAGCCTTAATCAAAGTTGATAAAAATGGAAACATAAAATATAAATGACCCGCCTAAACCTTAAACTATATGCAAGTGTTAGTAAATTCGAACAACCAAAAGTAGAAGACAAAGGTAACGGTCGACGAATTTGGTGTATTTGTACAAATATGAGTGAGTATAAGCAGACAAAGAAAGCAAGTTCACTGAAACTCGCGTTTAAGACTGCGGCCTTCCTCTTATATATACATCCTGCCGTTGGAATCTGAACTCTCTAATCCAACCACCAGTAAAAGGCAGTTTTCAAAAGGTGAAAGAGAGAAATGTGGATTTGGCTATGAACATATTGGTAAGGGCTCTATTTGTGTATTTCAGCGCATACCTCAGAGTTGCAATGCTATAGAACTACTTTTGTACAAACCATTTTCATGTAAATTCTGGTTGGCTGAGACTTATTTATCTGGCACAGGAAAAACTAGTTACAGATAGAGTAATGTTGATAAATCATCAACATCTCCATTCCCAGAAGGACCGGATCGCCAATTTTGACTGACTCTGTCAACTAATGGAAGTAAAGGCAATAAAGCTGCGGGCTTTGTTGTTTTACTCATACTTCCAAGTGTAAGTTCAAGATCAGGAGTGTAGGATTCGTTGTTATCATCATCATTTGATGATGCCAAATTCACAGTATTTCCATACTTGTTATCAACTGGAAAGAAATTTTTCTCTACAATTCTTGAGACCTCAGGCATCACAGGTTCACTGTAGATATTCTGTGTGTGTTGCTGTTGACTGAAAATGGAAGAACTTAATTTTTCTTCTCCAAAACTACTTCCAACGTTCTGAAAATGCTTTCTGTCAGCCCAATCAATCTCTAAAATATTTCCTCTTGGGAGATAACCCAGAATAGCTAAATCGGTTGGTAAGCAATGTCTCTTTTTCTTTTTGCTGTCATTTGTGCTGAATTCTTCAACTGTTACAACGGATTATTCAGCAAAACCATGACAATAAATAGCATTTGAATTTTTTCACACATAATTGAAGTGATGAACAAACCTGGATTGCCATTAGGTGAGACAGGGAGTATAGGTGATGCTCTATCAGGCCTAGCTTCTATATTAATATCTGAGCCACGAGAAGGAGAGTCGCAGATTTTTTCATTTGTGCCATCGCTAGGGAATTTATCCTACATGTACAACGGTATTTAATAAGATTTTGATAGAAAATGATAATATTTAATCAAGAAATAGAAATATGCTCAGTAAATAGTAATCAAATGTACAAAGCATAACCCAAGCACAGCTGTGCATGCCTAGAGATTTATAATAGTTAAGGAGAATAAGTCTTCTACGTCTTTAATCAACAGGATTTGCAACACTCGCAGCCATACCATCCCCCAGCACTTTGTCTAAAAATTCTACTAGGAATTTTCCCCCTTTTTTCCTTATACTTGGTTCCCACTCTTAAGAAATTATAGGAGCAAAAACAGAATCAACACCTAACCAAGGACATTTCTTACTGTTTTGCACTGTTCAGCAATGCGAAGCCCATCAATTAGGAGTAAATGAAATGCAAGTTGCATGTGGAAAATTACTGAAAATACATGCATGAACTTGTTAGAGAAAAAAAGTTTAAAATAACGTAGTTAAAAATATATCATATGGCCCCATCAACAACCGCTACTTTGTAACCTATCAAACCATGATAGAATATATTCAGCATTGCAAGTTTGAAAAGCTTGCTAAGTAGCTTATTTTAAACAGGTATATTTAAATTACTTTAGTATTTATATATGGACTAGGGATGATGTAATCTTCTCTAATATCTATTTTATCTTTGCCATTATTCATGTTCTCTTCTCTAATGTTAAATTTGTTAGCCTCAATCTCATCTATTTTATTGGACTCAACATCTTTATCTTTAAGATTTGTGAATTTAGAACTTAAATTCTAGCACCTACACTAGATCTACTTGTTTCAAGGGGTGAATAATAATTTCTCCAACTCTCAATACTCTTTTTACATCATCTTATGTCAAATTATCATCATCAAAAGTTAATTAATTTTCATCATTTGAAGTGTTAGCACCTATTTTTAAACTAAGGCAAGATGCTCACCTCGTTGCTTGTTGCCTAAAGTGAAAGCACTCTCCTAAACATGCCACTTAATAATGGTGCCCATTTAGGTGTGGTCTAGCCTTGCCTGAGCGCATAAATGAGAGCCTAGATCACCTCTAGGAAAATTGGTGAATTGTATTTATCAAACTCTTCTTCACTAAGCATGTTAAAAACCCATGAAATAGATCTTCCTTTTCTTTGTAGCTTAGATTTTTAAGTAAAAAAACTTGGGTCATTTTGGGGCAACTTACACACTATTTTCTTTTTTAGAATATAAAATTTCTATTTGACTACTATTTTCTTGTTACTTATGAGAATTTTTTGCAATAAGAACGAGCTTTTTACAATCAGATTTGTTAAACATAGGTAACTATATGAAAGTTGTACGAATTTTTCAAAAGAAAATAATTATAATACCCACAACAGTATTCAAAACAATTAATAAACCCTTAATTATATTGAAAAAAACACCCTCTCATCTTGATCATTCACTTAGAAAAATCGTACAAACATAAATGTATATCTTTTGTGATTTAATTTTTTCTTCTTTCATAAATCTTAGAAAAAAATTTTGCATGCTTAACAAGTTGGGATACTAATGCATTGTAAAGCATAAGTGGGTTGAGAAGTAACCTTTTGTGTATAAAAACCCCAAACAGTGGAAATTTTTGCATCAATGATACCTCACGAACAATGTAGAACCTCCATTATTTTACTCATACACTACAACAACAACATCAAGCCTTTATCCCACTACGTGGTGCCGGCTACAAATATTTTTTATTCATTGTCCCATTAAGAGTCAAATTCTTATTTAAATCTAATAAGAAAAGATAATTTCTAATATTTTCTAACCAAATCTTTTGCTCATACACTAACAAAGAAATTTCTATTGTTTTTTTTTTTCAAATAAGAGGAGTCACCACGTATGGGGAAGGAAGGGATGGGGGCATTCTAAGCAATTGAAGATCATTTTCTAGTATCACGATTCAGAGTTCCTTGGTCTTAGTAGAAAAAGGTTCCGTTAATCTGTTTATGTTGAAATTCTATGCTCATATTGGATTTAACTCTCCATAGAGGCCAAGTTTGTTGGACGAATTCTATTTTTTGTTTTCTTACTTTTCTCACTGATTGACCATGATTTTCATCAAAGATGAACAAGACAAGCAACATAAGTATAAAGCAAGTCGAAGCTTAGGTTGTTGCTATTCATTTTCACTTTCCAGAATGACTTAAAATAACATTTGTACAGCAATCATCATTGGAGCTCATTCCCCTCCTGACTTGAGATAGAATTAGATGAAACCTATTAGGCCTATTCTGATTAAATTGCACGAAACTATCAAATAGTGGAACTTTTTTGCATCAATTTGATTTCCCTTAACATAAATTTCCAAAAAAAAATATCACACACAATAATTAAGGCAGAGTCATTGAAGAGACATAAAAGATATAAAGGATTTTGACTTTAGACTAATAAAAGTTACTTTATCAGAGTGACTACATGATGTAATAAAAGACTACGACAATCTCCTCTTCCTTTTTTTCCTAATATATATTCTTCCAAAGCAACATATATTAAATCTTTGAATTACTTGGACTGGTCAAGGAAAGAATCTCCAAGAAAAGAAAGAAATAATTATTCTTAGACTTAAATAAAAAAAATTATGAAGAATAAATTGACATATGATCCCACAAAGTGATGATAAAATGTAGAACCTGCACAACAATTTTCATTTTCAAGGTTGATTCATTCATAAAGATGTTTACTCAGATAGCAGGTGTTTCTGTAATGTGATATCAAGTTTCATAAATGGTGGAAAAATATGATTAGATACATAAGTAAGCACGACAAAAAATTCTTGCCATGAAAACACAAAAAGAATGAGCTAATCTTTGAATAAGGAAAACCATGACAAAAGAGCAGATCATTGAATGGAGAAAACATTGAACCGTAGGTTCCCAAACGAATTTGCTTGTTTGAAATGAAAAGTAAAAATATAGGTAGAACAAGTAAATAACAATTGTTTCTTGAAATGCTAAAAAATAATAGGAAAAGCTAAGCAGGTAAAAGTGAGGGGGTTAAGATTTAAAGGAGATTTTAATTAATTAAATATGGCATTAGGAATTTAAAAAAAATAGGGTGAGGATCTATTTCAAATTTTAACTATTCAAAGATGCATATCGATGGTATAAGATCTATGAGGAAAATAATGTTCAAGCTCAGCTTGATTACTTTTGGAAACAAAACCAAGTAATCAGCCAACACAAACATCAATCGTTTTTTAGAATCCACTATTCGTGAGATATTAAACCATTACCTGACAATCCATACCAATCTTCACTTTGTAGCTCAATTGTGATGTCTGATTCTGCAACTCAAGATTATCAATAACATCCAGTGGTTTGGCTGTGGACCTAGATGAATAGTCTATAAAAAACAAAGGAATCCCCTGCAATACTTTAGCATCAGTACCAACCGTGCTCGATGAATTTGCAGCATAAGCAGCGGTTTCTGTCCTGCAAGACTTGTTATCAACTTCAGAAGATATGCAGTGCAACTCCACACTCATGGTTGACTCTTCCTGCTTTAACTTGGGAGATGTGTCACGTTCAGAAAATATCATTGATGTCACAGTACCGTCTAAATTCTGGGCATTGGCATTATTTGAGAGAGGTAATTCAGATATACCCAAATTGGATTCACAATTCTTCTTCTGGGTAGGTAAGCCATGCTTCCTCTTACTAATGAACATGCCCCATAGGTAATATAACATATTCCACCCTGAAATACATCAACAATTAGATTATATTCCAATTCTATAAGCGTTAGAAAAACAGTGAAAGGATCAAGTATTCCAGCAATTATGTCCAAGCATATACATGAACACAATTATTACTTACGTTGAGAGCACGTAGGTAACATTTTCGATGTGAATATAAGAAGCTCAGCATCATCAAGTTTTCCTCTGAGAGCTAAATCATTTTTTAGCATCTTATTCAACAGACTACTGTAACTCTTCTCATAACTGCACAGACAACCAATAGCAAGAACAAAGCCATCAGTTACTAAACAAGCTCAAACAGAAGTAAAGAAAAAATTCACCATAATCAAACCTATCGTTATCTTTAGCAAAGTAAAACAGAGCAATGTTTTCTTCCTTAGGACCAATTCCTTGATACTGTTGTGGCCATGAACTTGTTTGAGATACTTCTTCCAACTGTATTTTGCTAGGGACCTCGCTAGCCGCTTCGAGCACTCTATGGGATGCACAAGTTGATACGTGAGCTTGAATTCCATCAAAAGACTGTGGGAAGCCATCAGATCTCATAACATAAAAACTACCTCTGCAAGTTGAAGAGAAACATAAGATATGAAGAAAACCAAGTCATCCTAGAACCAAGTGCATCAAAAGCAAAAATATAAGAAAATGAGCATATCATACTGCCATATGAATTCAAGCTTAGGAATTGCTGATGCCTTTGATTGGCATGCCAAAATGGACAATTCTCCGGGTGATGTTTCTGTGAGAGATTTTACGTTCAACTCATTAAAAGTAGGAATGTGGCTTAAGCTGTTAGCTTTGGGGACTAATAAAGACTCAGTTGGTTGTACAGCTAGATTCACCGAATCTGTGGCAGCTAATCTTTTTCCAACTTCAACACTGAACTTTTTTACGCTGTCATTGTCAATGCTGCTATCTACCAACAAAGCTATATTCCTCTGACTAAAAGAACTTGGAGTGATTCTTGAATCTGCTTTGCAAATCACCTCTCCACTTGCTTCTGGAACCCTATCAAATTTATTGAAAATTTTAACTTTATTTGGCATCCTAGTCTTTGGTACCATTGCATCCATTACATCTTCACATTCCTTTCCATTTTTCTTTGTCTCGATTAAATTATGTTCATTTGAAGGCCGATGAGCAGATCCTTCAAGTTTGCCAGTGGAGCATTGTTGAGTTGCATGTACAGTTTTGTTGCATTTTTTAAAATGTAATGTTTGGTTACCATCTGAAGATGACAATCTTGGACAAATGAAAGTGTTAGCATTCCTGATTTTGTTGTCCTGATGATTTAATTTTGAGGGTTGAAGTACACCATGATGTGATGCCATGTCAACTTTGCTGCATAATCCATCAACAGGACTGAATCTCTTCCTTCTAACTTCTTTACATTGCTCGCAATTTTTAGTGTTGAACTTTTCATCAAAAAATTCCATACTCCTGGATGAATGTAAGATCCTTTTCTTTCTATCACTGCAACCTAATTAACAAACCAAATAATAATTAGCACAACCTAAAAGGGAATATATTAGATAAGCTATCACACAAAGAAACTGAAATATTTACCTAAGTTACTTGCTTCGGATGATCTTTTAACTATGCTCTGACAACTTGATTCAATAGCACTCTTCACATTTCCTTTATTTTGTGAAGACCTATTTATCTTAAGATGACAATTGCTAGCAGGAGCTGCTAATTTACTGATAGAAGTTTTATACATAGCAGAAGGAATCTTCTTATCAACAGTGATTCTTTCTTTTACCTCACCCAATTCTCTTGGATTTTCAATGCGGGATGGATGAAGAGGATGATCTTTACATGCTATCTCAGTATTGGAGAAGCCAGAACAGGAGCTTTTAAAGGAATAAGATTTATTTACTGATTTGACCAAAGTTTCATTTCTCAGTTTAGAGCTTATGGCTTCCCTTCTGGTTTTTTGTCTGAAAGAAACATTTTTGACAATTTGTTTGACTTTCTGATTAATGATTGAGTTGTTGAAAGAAACTGACCTTGCAAAATGTCCTACAAGAACCGGGAAAGGAACAGAATATATAAACAGTCAAATTCAGCATTATTGTAAAGAATGCAAATCTAAAGTAGCTATATGAAAAACAACTTAACACGGACTTACGAGAATGGGCATGTGGCTGACCCTTGAATGAACCAGAACTAAAGGAATTTTGCGAGCAACGAAAAGCCTGCAAAGCATCTACAGATTGATCTTCAAATGATTCTATCTTTGCCTTCTTTACTTCTATTTTCTGGTTTTTGAATGAAATCGCACCAGATAACACTGGTATTTTCCTTGGGGTTGCTGTCTCTATGGGATCAGCTCTCTCCTCTGAAGCTTTTATCTCTTCTACATGGTCTGCTTGCCTCCTAGTTGAAATCTTAGGGCTTTCCAATCCATTAGCCAGCCCTTGATCATTCAAATCAATTACTCCAGCGTCCGGTTTAGGTAACTTCTTTGGAATCAAAGTACTGAGAGAGTTTTGACTATTTTGACTGAAAAATGTCGGTTTTGAACCTCCACAGATAGTGTCAGATTTATCCACACTATGATTCTCCGTGTTCTTGATCTTGCATTCTTCACAAAGCCAATCAACTCCAGGAAGTTTATCCAACTTTTCCCGCATGCAGTAACTATACAGTGAATCAAACTTTTGAGCAGATCATAGAGGTAAAATTATAAGAGGAATATCGAGCAAGTACAAAGAGTTTGATGAGCTTACGTGTGCTCTGCACCATCACTGCAGCGGCTGCAAATGGCAAGAAGGGCCTCCCTTCCAGCATCTCCGCAAATATCACATACTTTGACCTATAATTTAAGCATACAAAAATCTTCAGAAAAGCCACAAAATATAGAAGAACAAGCCAATATATGATTATGGCCTGCAGAATATATTCTAGGAGTAAGAAACTATTAAATCATTCCTATAGAACTCAGATGAAATCCCTATAGAGAGATGACATGAAAAGAAATAGAGCATACTTCCGTACAAGGCAAAATGACTAAAGGGCATTCCTGAGGAAAAAAAAAAACCTGATCTACAAAATACTGAACACAGTGAACATTTCCCTAGACTTGAATTATGACAACAAAAAGTATCTTATGGCTTTATCCACACCAAACCATAGCTCAGAGTGGCAGAAACAGAAAATTCAATAGTAAAATAATCCAAAAAAATGTGACAACTTGGGAACAAAAGAAAGCTCAGTAAAATGCATGAACATGTCATTTTATTAACTATGATCAATTAATTTCATCTAAGAAGATTCGCAATTGTTGACCTCCTCAGGCAAGAATGAGAAAGCCTGAAGATTTATGTTACACCAACAACCAATCATTAAATTTAAAACACAATTCATGAAAGTAACTCAAATTTAAAATTTTCCAAGTTCTAAGATGTTCCCCAAACATGGTGCACTGCACCATAACTGGATTGTAGTAGAATGTAGGCAAACATTTTTTAAGACGTCACCCATAAGAAATGCTCCACAACTTTAGACGATTGCGGTGAGAAGTAGGCACAAATCGGTCTAAAACATTACAAACAAATGATGCACCACAACATGACCAATTGTGATAAAAAGTATTGAAGCATAGAAGAAGAATAAACATTGCATGTCCGTAGGAAATAAATAGAGAAGAAAAATTCAAAGAAATTGTAGAAAATTATAAAACATTATATGTTGGGAATGTTAACAATAAGAATATAATCGAGATAATATTTTATAGTAGTTGATATAGTTGAAAGATAAAATTATTGAGGTGCATAGTTTAAGTGATGATTTCTATCTAATTAGGGGCACATGAGAGTTTTGAATTTAATCACATTGGATGGTTGAAAAAAAAAATGTTATTATAGAAGTAACAAATGATTGGCCACTGATATATCAAGCCAAATTTTAATCTTTCTTTTTTACTGTACTCAAACGTGGTCATCATTGATAGACCAGTTAGGAAAAAGCTGTTCACGCGGCTTGTATCCTATAAGTTTTTGGTGCTTGGTACTTGTAGTCGATAAAGTTCAAGATCGATTGACTCTAATGATGACTCCACATAATTGCTTAAGTTCTTAGGACATGATACTTGATTAAGTCGGAAAGCTTTACTTTGAGGGAGAGTACAAGAACAACACCAACAACAACGAGCCTTTATTCCACTACATGGGGTCAACTACGTCCTGTAAGAGAGAGTGATGGATGATAATGAGTAAGAACTCTCATGTGAGGGAGAGATTTGTAAGACAAGTGAGAAAAATGGATTTAGTTCCACACATCAGATAGTAGAAGTACTGAGTGGTTAACTTTCTTCCATAGCCTTAAAACTTCTGAGTTTATATGAGACCCAACTTTAGTCCCTCTTTAGCCCATAATTTCTAACAAGTTAAATATCAGTGAGGGCATTATAAAGGTAATTAGCTTTTAAATTCCTTATATTGAACTAGAGATGGTTTGAAAATTCAATTTGGTGAGAGATGAATAAATAATTGCAACATATACCAACAACAACAATATCAAGCATTTATCCCACTACGTGGGGTCGGCTACATGAATCTTTTTTCTCCATTGTATTCTATTAAGAGTCAATTTCTCATTTAAATCTAATAAAAAAATGTTATTTCTAATATTTTCTAACCAAGTCTTTTTAAGTCTACATCTACTCTCCTAACTGGGTCATCAGAATGCCGACGATTTATGTGACCATACCATCTACGGAAACTCTCTCTAATCTTATTTGTCATTGGAGCTACTCCAACCTTTTCACGTTTATATTTGTTTCACATTTTGTCTATAAGAGCGAAGCCACTCATCCACCTGAGCATCCTCATCTCTACAACACTTAACTTAATTTTATGCTTCTATTTTAATGGCCAACATTCTGCGCTATAAAGCATTGCAAGTAGCAACACTATCTTATAGAATTTTCACTTAAGTTTTAGGGTAACTTTTCTATCACACAACATCCCAATGCATTCCTCCACTTCAACCATACAACTTGAATTCTACTAATAATATCCCCATCTATTTTATCATCACTTTGAACAATAAATCCGAGATATCTAAAGCGTGTACTCATATTAATGACTTAATCGTCCAAAGAAGCAATCCCCCGACTAGATCTAATACTACTAAAATTACACTCCATATATTTAGTTTTAGATCTACTCAAACGAAAACATTTAAACTCTAAGATTGACCTCCATAATTAAAGTTTACCTTCAACTCCCTCTCTAGTATTATCAAAAACAAGAATATCATCAGCAAAAAGCATACACCATAGTAGATTCTCTTGCAAATGTCCAGTAAGAACATCCATGACTAAAGCTCGGAGATGTTAGAGTGTTGTCCAGGCGAGCAAGAGGGTTCGTATTGCTGTCATTTCTACATAGGCAGCCAAACAACTTCACCGTGGCTAGTATCTTCTTCCATGCAGATAAACTCTCTCCCCCCTGTATCTTTTTGATCCCTCCTCAATCGTGGCATTGTTTTATTGTGAAAGCTTGTCCACTTAGCCCACAACAAAAGCGTTGTGTGAGTAGGCATTTGTAGTAACTAATCTATTTATTAACTTAGGGATTTTCTCTGAAACACCACGTGAGCATGTTATTAATTAATCTGTGTTATTTAATGGTCCTCCCATTAACATGTGATTGATTTCGTAAACTTGATTGTCCCCTTGCATGTGGAAGTCATTGCTTAAGTTCATGGTGAGTTAATAAATTGTTAAGCTCTGTTCAAGCACGCGTACTTTCCAAATCAACATCACTTGCATATATAGTTCTACATCAGGTTGAGCCATGGATTCAAAGACCCATTTGTGTTGTTCCACAATAAGTTGATTTTCTGAATAGGTGCAAAAATATGCATATACCACCTTTTTCAGCGAGTACACACTCCCCCAACAAATTCAAAAAGTTTGGGATTTTATGGATTCCAGTGTTCTTTCTTATGTGGATGTTTGCATGGCCATATATAACATACTGATGTGGTACAAGGGAGTGAAGGGACCAATAAAATTCATTTTATGCATAGACTTGTAGGGAATAACTTAATTATTTTTTGTAGAATGAAGACCATTTGCCATTTTAACATATTAAAACAGCCATGGTACTATAAAAAAATGATAAGGAGCTACAAAAAAAATCCAATTACGATCATACCACGTGAAGTCTTCAAACAAATAATTACGTACATACAAGCAAGCAACATGCAGAATAGTAAAAAACAGTGACCTTAAAAAGTGATGGCAACTTCTAAGTGCTTAACATAATTGAAGCAGAAATATTCTGCATATAGAGTAACTGTAAGGGACGTTATACACACTGAGCAGCTTAAAAGCATCATATAAAACAGGTTGAAAATTTTGAAATGCAACATAAAAGAAATTAAAACACACCTCTTGTAAAGATAAAAGAACTATAAATCTTTAAGGGCTGAACATAATGCCGTTCTCTAATATGATACGCACGTCAGCCTTCTTTTAACCATTTATATGAGCATATGAAAAAATAATACTTTAGCAATCACTAAACTAGCAAAGCAAAAGTTTCCCGGAGGTAATAAAAAGGAGCCCCAACGATTACCATAGCCATGAATATGTATCCTGTTTTTCCTAACAAAATCTATATCACAAAGAAAATAAAATTTTGTGAAATAAAAGATGTAGGTAAAACTAGAAACTCACATCATATAACATAATCTCAGATTCGGAGTTTTCAATCTCAGTGTTTGCAGGAGGTAGCAAATTATCTCCCCGATCGTTGGTTGTTTCCAAACACAACAAAGCCTTATCCTTTTCAAGGGGCTCGCTAAGATTACCACTTCTAGAGACATTATCAGATGATATTTGAATATTTGTATCTGTTCTAAATTCTTGGCATAAATTCTCAACCTTTGATTTCTCAGAAGATAAGCAACTTCTAGCCTCATTTGTTATAGAGACTCCAACATTTCGAAGGGCATCAGATTTCCACCCAGCAGAACTAACAGCAGAAGAAACATTTAGTATAGATACATCTGTAGTTGTAATTGACCTGCGCAAGCTATAGTTGCCATTATCAGTTTCATGAACTTGAAGACCATCTCCAGCTTTAGCCAAAACAGAAGCTTGATTCACATTGAGTATCAAATTATTGCTCAAAGCAACACCACATGTCATAACTTTCTTATCCAAGTATAAATTGCCACCATAATCTGAAATATTTGAATCTACTCCTCCAGTAAGGCATGAAATATTATCCTCGTGACACTCTAATCCAGGCTGCTCTTCAACTTCACCTGAGGAATCTCTGCAACCTATGTGAATTGAGATGTGGCTATCTGCAGAGAAGTGATCTTGATAAGTTTTTTCCACAAGAGGTTGCACTTTTTTAATAACTTCACCTGAGAACCCAATTTGAGGTTTGTCCAGATCTTCTAAATCATCAGATGCAGAGGCTTTCAGAGTTGATTTGCTTTCAGCATTCTCAGAAAATGAATTATGACTTGAACTAATGCCTAACATGTTACTAGTTTCACTAGATGCATTCAGTGAATCATCACATTTTCTTTTCTTGTAAAATTGTGTCCCATTCACATCAACTGAAAAACAAATATCAGCTTTTCCACGAGAGAAGATACTACCAGAACATCCACTGTCGCTGGTTGAACCTATGACTGATGAAGAAGGAAAATTATGCATGCATGAAGAACAAGGAGCTGCACAAATATTGCATGTTCCTGATGCAATCTTCATTCCAATACAGTCATTTACAAACATAAATTTCTCCTCAGTTGGGAATACACCCTAATGCAAAAGAAAACAGCATAAAAAAAATGAATATTATAATATATCTATGAAGCATCTTTAGCTAAGAATCATCAGCCATATCACAATTGCCAAAATTTAGTGATAAACATGATATAGCACTGTTTCAGAAACGATCCTAAGATAATTTAAAGTCAGTCAATGTGCATTTAATTTAGGCTTCGGTTCGGACGACTTTTTTATTGCTTCTTAAAATGGAGTTTTCGTACACAAAATTAATTATTGTACTAAAAAGTTGCTTTAAGAGGCAGTAAGAAAGCCGTCCCAAACAAAGCCTTAGTCTCTCTAATATATGCTTTTGAACCTCTAGTCTGCATACAACTGATTAAACTTCACTTAAAAAAAAAAAAAACTGATTAAAACTTCAGACATCAGGATTATCTAGATAGGTATTTATCTCACATACACACATTTTAAGTTTAGAAATTGACAATGTGAACTAAAATTATTGCAGCAATTTGTCTGGGAGAACAGCCACTGGGAATGAGCCCCACATGTACCATACTGCCAAAATATTAATGTATTAACGAAAAAAGGTAGCGGGCAGAGGGTTAATAGACAAATAAATCCACAATATGCAATTTTAATCAATATGAAATTTATAATTATTCTTTAATATTGCAGGAGAATGATAATAATGTGTCATTCTGTTAAGCATCCTGGGTATATTGTTAAAAATAATTGATAATATAAAAAATAGAACTTTCAGAGTTAAAGCTTGATGGATAAATTACAAAAGTGTACCATTTAAATAATGCCACAAGAGAAACTATTAGTATAGGTGGGATTACAAAATGGCTATTAGCATTATGAAACAAAGAACTCAGTGTCAGGCAATTTGAGTTGGAGGAAATTAACAATGGGCACAAGATGAGGTAGTGGAGAATATACTTGTGTGGTTAGGGTATGACAAAAGTATAAACTTGTGTGATTTGGGCTTGCACAACAAAAGGCACAAGATGCAACAATAAATAAGTTGGAAAGAATTAATGTAAAAGAGCTAGAAAGAAAATGAAAGACAAAACAAAGAATGGCAAATTAGAGTTAGTAATGACATGAATGAGAAATGAGACTTCATAAAGCCAGCACAAAAAAGTTGGTATGGATAATGAAGATGATTGGAGAACTCAAGTATGAGTTGTTCATCATGGATGCTAATGCTTAGTAGTAGCTACAATACAAATACAATCAAACTGAAATTCAAGCATTTAACCATAAAAATTACAAAATATACTTTTTATTGTGGATTTTATAACTCCATTATATATATATATATATATATATATATAGAGAGAGAGAGAGAGAGAGAGAGAGAGAGAGAGAGGGAGAAAGAGAAGACTTTTCTACTCTATAAGAAGAAGAATCAATCTCCACTCAATTAAATTTTAATGATATGGCCTTCAGGAGCACAATTAAAATCATCCATTACCTTCCACATTATTAACACTCATAGCATGCCATATTTCAAGAATTTTAGAACTCATTTTATTATTAATTAGATGCATATAAATTTTAACAAAGCCCTACTTATATGATATGATGATTATGTTTTCAATGTGGAGATACTTTTAAATGGCTTAAACGCTGGATCTTCTTTTCTTTCACTAGCTTGGCTTGGAATCAAGTACATGTGTTCTTTGATGATATTTTACATGTATTGGACACTTTTGAATAGTGAAATTCATGGTTGATCTAAACTTTTAATATAACTTCAATATGTCATCCACACGTACTTATATTTTTAAAATTCTTGATGTATGATTATCACAAAAATTGATGAGATTTTATCCATATTTAAATTCTTTTATTATAAATAGAAATTAATGATGGATTTTGAGTTTGAATATTATATAAAGTAACAAATGCAAAAAACAAAAATTGAGAGAATCATAGTCATTATATGCCTATGCGTGTCTATATATAAATATATAGATAGATTGAGGTGAAAAATTTGCATCTGTAAAAGAGAGATGTGGCGGTTTGTCCACACTACGCAAACCATAGATTGGATGGGGGGTTAAATGAAGAAGGTGGAAGGAAAGGCCAAAGAAATATTTAATTACAGATTAACCTTAATTTAATTCACATAATTGTACAATCAACAAAAGTATCTTTCATGAAAGACATTTAATTGATAGGATATCAATGTGAAACAATTTGAAGAACGTGAACCCATATCAAAGTAGCCTTGAGTAGCTAAGAGACATGGAATTAATTTACCATTAAAAAAAATTCGGTGCAAGCCCTAAAATTTGAACAGATCTGCTACGTTTCCCTCCCCAATATGTAGCCCTATGGACTGCGGGTGTAAAATTGATGTCAATTAGTGAATTCTGAACACATTTGAATTTACAGGATTAAAACAATTCTCCAATTTGGAGCACTCAAAACAAGATGGCGATATCATCGGTCAACACTAGCGCATGCACCTTTTTTTGGTTCCATAACAATTTGAATTCTTGATCAGGCAAATAAAAAAATGCCGAATCGATAAAAAGTAAAAATAGTGGACGGCAACGTTAACTTAAACAATAAATCATCATTTTGGCTTCATTTTAAGGTTCTTACCGAGTTAATCCTCTCAAATTCAAGGTTAGAATCATCCACAGGTCCCTGCATGCGATAGCTACCCTTCAGAACAGGGGTAATCTGAAATCCCAAGAAAAAAAAAACATATTAATTGTAGAGCTCCACAAAAGACAGCGAAGTTGTTGATCTTTAAGTTCGAAGAAAACGCAAAAAACTAAAAAACAAGATAACACCGTGCAATTGCCTTATCTTACAACAAACAAAGAAGTAAAAAATAAACTAACAAAACAGGCATCTTAAATTGTTTAAGTTTGCTCTCAGAAAACCATATAACTGCACCATAAACTAACACCAAAACTATCATATCCCCATAAACCAAGGACATCAGTGCCCTACCCGAGGGAATTTGAATTAAAAACAATCATAATTTTCCCTTTTACTATTTTAAGTTTGGTTAACACATCGTCCCAGGCTCAATCCATCAAATTAGCAATATCATCACTCTGCCGGGACATGCTGCTTAAGTTACTCATGATCACTGCCAGGAAAATTTTCCAGCAGAGCAATCCAAAACTATATGAGAAAAAGGAATCGATTAAATTGAAACTATAATCGGCTGAAACAAAGACGAATTTTTTACATGCCTTATTCCAAAAAAATAAAAGTTTTACATGCCTCCGCTTCCAAAATCATCTCAGTGCGATCGTAGAGTTCTTTCAGAGGCCGCTCCGAACGCCTCCTCATTACTACCCTCACACAGCAATCACCTTCAATCAGACTATCGCTCCAATAATCACATGCCTATTTCCTCGGCACAAAATAGGGTTTTCCAATCAAAGGACGAGACGAGGTTCGATCGAGACAACAGAGATACGAGAAACACGGAAGTTAACAAGTACGAAGGGAGATGGATGATAAATGGTGGAGCGGGGAACGATGTGATGAGTTCGCGAGCGCTAAGAATGTGATTTAGCGTGCGCCGGATTCAAACGGATACGATAGGGCGATTGTTTCGCCGCGAGGTCGAATGCGTGGTTTCTTCAGGAATCCATCCATGGCGGTGTTAGAACGGCGAAGGGCAGAGTAAGGCAAAAGGCTCTCTCTCTCTCTCTCCAAACCAATTTTAGAAATTTTTCATCAAACAGCAACGAATTTAAGTTTGTTTATTTTTAGTGGGTCATTAATTTTTCTTACAATTAAAAAATAATAATTTGCAATAAAAACTACTTGTTCTCTAAAGACAAACAAATAAATTCCTTTTTGCCTGACGATGATTTTCTAAATTAAGTTAGGAGAGAGAGAGAGAGAGTGACAGCCTTTGTGTGTGTTCATAAATATAAATTTTCAAAATAAACATATATATTGAAATAAATAATATATTTAATATTTATATATTTTATTCAATAAATATATCTAATAAAAACATATTGATGGACATAAATCCTATAAATAATTTTATTTGTAGGAAATATTATACAAAATTTATTCATAATAGCTAAAATATTATCATCATCATGAATATTATTTTAATTATATGGCTTAACTATATACATTATTTTTTTATTAAAAAAATAGCTCAAGATAAACTGACCAAAATTTTATTAGGATAATTCTCAAAAAAGTTAGATTTATTGTGAGATAAGAAGAATATAACTTTTGATTGATTCCTCATATATTACGAATCTCAAAGAATTTTTATTGGCTTTTAAATATATTTTACGAGAAATAGAATTTAATTAATATTTTCAATGCCTTAATAGCTGTTATTCCTTATAATATATAGCATCTATGTTTGATTATATAGGAGAGAATTGAATGGGAAATATTTATAGGAAGCAGTCAGTAGAAAAGAAATGCAACCGAATGCTGCAAATACAACAAATGTTATTGCAAATTGATAATAGTGCAAATTTGTTGAGCTATTGAACTTCCTTCTTAGGCTTAGTTTGGTTTTTGGGTACTTTTGTAAAATTTTACCTTAAAAATCAATAAATTAATCACCTCAAATGAAACCTTAGTAAATAATTCATCTCACTAGCTTATTAACTGGCATCTTAATATTTTTAAGTTCCACGTGTTAAAAATATATTATGAATTGTATTATTATTTTTTTTTTGAGTTAGACATATAATTATAATTTTAGTAAATAAAATAATGTGATAGCTCTACATATAGCTAATTAAAACCTTTGATTAAATATCCAAAGTATTAAAGGCAATGAGTAATGGTTTTAATAATATTTTCATTTATATATATAAATATTTCCAAAATATTGGATTTAAGAAATGTTCTTAAAATGTGCAACCAAAAGAACATATTGGATATAATAAAAAAAAAAACAATTGATAAGAAAAGACACCATTTTTTATATATCATTTTAGCTTACATTAAAAGATAAACTAAATTAAAAATAGACAAACTAGGCTTTCTATAATTCATAATTCATTGTTCTACTAACTTTATAAGGCCTTATGACTTATGAGTAATACATATTATAAACCTTAAATTGGCTAGTTTTCTTATTATTAAAATCTACTTAATTTTTTTTGTTGGGAAAAACCTACAATACCATAGAAGACGCTTCTAAAATTATGTTCTTCATCATCTTTCACGAAATTCCTTTACGCATTTCAAGACTATATTGTTCTTTCGAGAGAGAAATTATTCTGTGTGGAGACCCGACCCAAAACGTCATCCAAAAACCAATTAAAATGTGTCATGACAGTAATATCGAGCTACGATAATGAACAAGAGGTGACATGACGCATTCTAATTGATCTTCGAATAACAGTTGACACAGAATAATTAATCCTTCCTAGATGGCCTTTTTTTTTTCTTTGTTCTCTGATTTTTTTTAGGACCGTAGTGTGAAAAAAAAATGAAAAAAGAAAAGCTGAAAGGTGGAAAAACGTAATGATGCCATTACCTGTCTTTTTTATATATTATCTTCTCTTTGGCGGGTCTATGTTCTTCATCTCTTCCTGAAGCCTTAGGCCTGCTAAGCGTTTGATTGTTCCTCGTCGCTCCGTGCTGCTTTGGCTTTGAGTGTAGCAGGTATTGAAAGTCCCTAAAGAAGCTTCTTCGCCTCCTTCGGCGACGTTGTTCCTGTCAGATCGGAAGTTATCACGGGAACTCGAGCTCCTCAAAGCAACTTTCTTTTTCCCCTTTCACTTACTTCTTTGGTTAAATGCCGTAAATCTTCCTTTTTATTTCTTTTCAAGATATGGGTAAAATAGGCTTTGAGATGCTAAAATTATCTAATTAACCTTTTGATTTAATAAAATTACCCACCCTCAACCACACGTGGTTCTGCTACTGCTTATGTGGTATTTATGTAAATATTATTTTGATGAATTTGTTGAGTAATTTTCACGTGGGAGCGGAGGGAAGGGAAGGAGAGGATAGAAAGTGGGGGCCACACGTGTGAGAATGACCGTGAAAAATCGGTAATTTGGTTGGCTGAAGGAGGAGAAGGCGGGGGCCCACGTTGCTGCTTTGAATTGGAATCCGATGGGGCGCCAAAAGGATGCTACGTCGTGGCAGTAGGATCCACGGCTTTAAAAAAGAGTCCTCCGATGGACGGCCGTGATTGCATTTTTTTGTAGATTATATGCTCTTCCAAATATACCGTTGCATCTATGCTGGAACTCGTCCTCATTTTCCTTGATTTAACCCGGCTGTAAGAAATATTCAAATTAAACCGTTTGAATCATCGCGATAGTTCTAGAACCTCGCTCACGGTCTTGGTCTTGAGCTTTAAGCTATCACTTTTGAGGTATTGGGTTGGTTCCTTAAAAAAAGTACGACCAAGTTTTTATATGCAAAATTTTTTTGTAAAAAATAATTACTCAATAAAGAAATTTCATAAACTTTTTTTTTATTAATTCCATAAAATCAATATAGACAAAAAACAAACATTACTAAGAGATTATTTAGTTGGCTGAAAAAAGAGTACAATATAAAAGAATGCAATGCATTTGAAAGACTTTAGAGTTATTTGGATGTGCGTAAGATAAATGTAGATTTTTACTTTTTTAGCTCAAATTAAATTGGATGCAATGTAAAGTTTAAAATGATGGTTGTTAGTGGCGACCGAGGACGACCACCATTTTCCAGTTATGGTCGGCGGTGGCAATTAGCAATTTAAAAAGTATTATTGGCTCAATGCTCATGATCAAAGGAGAAGATTTTTTTCATGTTAAGAATTTTTATCAAGCTTTTAAAAATTTTTAAAAAAATCTCTTAAATTGGTGAAAAATATTGATAAACATAGTAACCATGGTAGAGTCACCATCCTGTATTGCAACGTAGTTGTAGGAACAACTCATTAAGGTACATCAACACTCATTAACAATTGTCATTATCATCACCCATCATTAGTCATGGATCGATGTTGGTTTTTATAATCACGTGATGTTTTTCAATAAGGTACATCAACACTCATCTCCATTGTCGCTGGTCTGGTCTCACCCACCATCACCCAACTTCCAACAGTCATTCTTCATCAATTAATTAGTATTCGAAGCTTGTCAAACAACCAACATTCGAGAACCATATTTTCGATGATCACCAATTATATCAAGAGAATGACCAATTAGATCACTCATTACTGCCCAACTTTTGATGTTCATTAGAATTAACTATCAACATTCGACAACCATGCTATTGATTACCTAATCTCCGATCATATCTACATAATAATCAAGCTAATCGTCCATTATTGTCCAACTTTTGACATTAATTATTATTAATATTCAACTTATTCAAGCCAATAAGTAAAATATGATGACCACCAACAACTAATATTTTATGTCTTCCTTTCCGGTCACTTAGTCATTCCTTCTATGAGGATAACGACCAAGTAGACCACTCATCTCTATTCAACGTTTAATGTCGACCTTTATATGATGTATGTAAATGATTTATTGCTTGATGTCCATCTTGATTCTCTCCTAATTTCCTCTTTAACTAAAATAAACTACTTTAAGAAGCTGCAAGAAAGCTGTCCCAAACAAAGTTTAAATTTTTATTTGTGACAATTTTCTTTTTGTTTTCAAAAGAACATTTTTTTAGTACAAAAATTTCTAGCTCATAAGTTTTTTTTACTAAAAAATTGTTTTAAAAAATAACAAAAAAGTTGTCCCAAATAGAACCTAAGACTAATGTTAGGTCACTAGAGACTATTTGGACATTTTACCGATCTACATGGAATATAATAATTAATTCAAATGCAACTAACTTATAAACATAATTAAATAACATAAACAGATTATTGATTCATTAACAACACTTAGATGTGATACGTCATTAAAAATTGTCTTGATTGAGCACGAATCTCGAGGCATATTCAAGTTGAAAACTTTTCAAATTAAATTTGGGATCATTTGAATTCCAATTTCAGCAAACTTATAGTCAAATTGAACATCTCATAGGGACGAACCAAATAACACCAAAATTGGTCCAACCCAAGCCCAAATGGGTCTGAATCGGGGGCCCGAACCACATTTGGAAGGGGTAAAGTATTATTTGGATACTGAAATTATATCCAAATATGGCATGCTTATAGTCAAATCGAGTGTCTCGACGAGATGAATCCAACAAGCCCAATATCTCTGAATTCTGACACTGTTAAGGCACTTAAACAGTTGAAAAACTCTCTAGATCGGGGGAATATACGAGCCATCCGATGGAATACTCTGAACCTGCCCCGGATCTTCTTTAGATTTACGGGGTGTGTCACTCATGAAAATCTATAAATAGACCCCCACTCTCTACATGAAGAGGACCTTTGTCTTGAGATTTAAGAGAGCTCTGAAGCTTCAAGCCTTCGTCGGAACATCGCCCAGCCACCGACTACCGCCAGACTTCTACCGGGCCACCGACCGCCGCAGGACTTCAGCCCGATCTTCGTCGGACCACAGACCGGCCGCCGACCATCACCGGACCACCGCCCGACCGCCGTTGGACTTCAGCTCGACATTTGTCGGACCACCGCCCGACCGCTGACTATCATCAAACCATTGCCAGGCCTCCGACCGCCGCCGGACTTCAGCCCGGCCGCCGACCATCGCCAGACTTCAGCCCGACCTTCGTTGGATAACCTTTGGCCGTCGACCATCTCTGGACTTT